AATCACTTCTAAAATGGTGAATCTACAAAGAATGACGAGATATAAGTGCTGCAGTAATCTTCATCTTCTGAGGGCAGCACAGTGAGCACAGTAAGAAGGTTCGAATCCCAGTCCTGCCTTTCTGTGTGGAGTTTGTTCGCCCTGTGACTTTGGGAACTGCAGCTTCCTCCTTCAGTCCAAAGATGTGCAGACTGGGTTTAGGTGAATTGGAGACTTCACACTCACCCCTCATGACAGGATAAGGGCACGGTCACAGATTTGCTAATGCACATGACTGTTAATCGCTTGTCGAGGTCATACACGTATCATCAGGTTGCTGAATGCTGTGCAGTCTTTAAGTTTGTGGTGGTTGGACGAGCATTTTTTGGGTTGTGAGAAAATACAGTGAACAGAGGAGGCACAATTTTACCACTGCTACATTTGCGACCAAACCATTGATAATGGAGAGATATTCTCTTCTGGTTCAGAATATTGAAAAGCCTGTTTAACGGAGCCACATGTTTGCACATCACTTTATTGGTCATTGTTATAATCCATTTTAAAATCAATAAAATCTATTTGCAAGCACAATCTTGATTCTCAGGTCTTCGATCATTAGTGAACTAAATTTCTAACCTGCATCAAATTATCTCGGAGAGAATGGAGAACTGACCATTGATCTTTTTTTAGTTTAGTGTTTTCATACTGGATCATTCGGTCACAGGTTCCTGAACCTGTCTCTCCTGCCACAGCATTACTGGCCATAGTTAATCACATAAAGTGACTCATAAGGTTTAAATCCCTGTAATGAGCCGACAGATTAACTCACTACACTAAATGCTCACTCTAATCTTTGGTGCCACACAAAGTACAATAGGCTTTAATTAAAACTACAATGTGTTAGTGTTTAATGGTTTAATAGTGATCTCTCAAATATTGTTGATCAGCAGAAATTAGAAATGAATGATGGGTCATGAGGGAAGGTGATAACAAGATAGATGAATATGGTTTAAGCCTGTACACACACACACACACACACACACACACATACACACATACACACATACACACACACACACACACACACACACAGAGGAGTGGTGCGGCTGAGTGCTGTAATTACATCAGAATGTCTGATGGATTGAACATGTTCCGTCTGACTATTATCGACGTTGGAGAGACGTTTAACGTGATTATGAAAAATCTTTCATTCTATAACTGGAATCATCCAACATGTTTCTGTTCAAACAGCAGACGTGTTACAGCTCCAGAATATCAATCATTTAAAAAAGCAGCTTTCAGTGTTTGTGTGTCAGGGAAGGATGCAGCTCCATGATTCACTTTAGATTGGCTGTAATTTAATCTGTAGCCAGGTGGGCGGGAGAATAAAAACATTACAGAAATCAGATTACAACAAAAATAGATGTGTATTTACATTAGGGGTTCTATTAGGAACAGAAAATGAGTTTTAAATCAGTTTGTTGAAAAGAAGTTATTTTGAAGAAAAAGTTTACAAATCACGGTCATAAAAAGAATTAATTTATTTTCAGTTGAGTGCCCTAATGAAACCACATAATTTACTTCAATAGATCTGGATTTTAATTTGGATCTGCACCAAAGTGCACATATTCATATATATATATATATATATATATCATCACACCCCCAGAGCATGCCTCATTCGTTTTTATCAAGATCCATTAATATTCCCCTGCCACTTTAAAAGAGTTTAAAAAACGCGAGATGGTTCAGAATTGGAGAATAAAAATCCTGGATCTGCCTCCTGATGCTAAATTCCAATGGGTTGTGCCAAGTTTCATTGTTATCCTGACAGTATTTTTTGAATTGTGTTGCTTAAAAAAAACCATATAAACAAACTAATAAGCCAATAAACACGGGTGAGGACGTGTCAAAAGATGTGTTGCTTTGAGTTTCCAGCTGTTGTGTGTTGCGTGTTACCCACATAGCTGAAAACCAATGTTGCTTGAAGAATAACTGACACAAACTCCGTCACAAACAAAAAGTAACACAAAGCCTGAACTGGTGTCACCTAACAGGAAATGTGCCTTCAGCCAAATGTAAGAGGAGCCAAGCTTTACTTGTGTCCACATCATCTGTTGACATGAATGTGTGTTTTGTCCGTGTACATGTGTGTGTGTGTGTCTTTAACACATTGTACAACGCCCTTAGTTAATATTTGTCCTCAACAGAAATCCTCTGCAGTGAAGCTGGGACACGGGAGGAAGGAGTGAAAATGAGGAATCTGGGACTTGGTGCTATATATAAAAATGAGATCAGGTCTCTTGTAAAACTAGAAAGTCTGACGCTCTTGAGAAAATCGAGTTATGTAGATGACGATGCACTTGTTCACCTCCGTTATCTAGTGGTGCTCGGCTTGGATGGCGAGAAAGTGGAGCACAGGGAGAGTCAGAATTCAGATTTGTGTCTGCAAGTGAAATTAAGTTTTTACCATTTCTTCTGTAGGTGACGCTTCACCAGACAAAACAATTACAGGGACTGAAAACCGACTTCATGATGATGATTTCCAGATTTCGAATGTCGTTTTTTTCTCTTTTAAAGTGGTTTTATAGCGTTTATGAAACTGGCTCTTCTGCTGTCAAACGAGTGCATTATCAGACCATTTGTCTCGGCAGAGTGGAGACTTCTCCAGACTAAATTGATCCTGCGTTTACAGGCTGTTGGTCTGAATGAGCATCCTCAGGCTCATTATGGGTTTCGGAGGACAGGGGTCAGTCTTAGCTCCTCGTAACACTGACGGGAGGCTTTGATGATGGCGTGTTACAAAAGAGGCTCAAAGTCACTTTCACACTGTGACGGAAAAATTAGCCTTGGGGGGGCAAAGCAAGCATGATGTCACCAGAGAAACGCGGACGCTCCAGTCACTGATATGTCTCTTTGTGGGTGTAAATCACTGTGAACTGCAGCACAGTGTTGTAGCTCATTTCAGTGTTAGACGTTAGTCTGCAGTGTTTCTCCTCCTGACTGTGGTGAAGATGACTAATGTAGGATGATTTATTTATTGAGGTAAGACAAAATAACATCTTAAATCAGCCTGGCAGTTCAGATACACAGAAATATACTTTTGTTTTTATTTTACGTTTTTGTTTGTCGGGCTTACATGATGATCCTGTTGCTACTTTTTAAAAAAAAATCATCCAAAGTTCTGTTCTCTCTAATAATGGCTCCATCAAAAGTTTCATTAAAAACAAATTAACTGTCTTTTATTGCACTGAATATTAATTTCATTACTTCCTGTGCAAATTCACGTTTTCCTCATAGAGATGCATACAGATTAATGTGACAAATAATATAACATAACATTTGAAATTAATTTATTAAATATGTTTATTAATGCGTGTGAATATAATGTACATCTATATATCTATATACAGTATAATATGTGTGTGTATAGGCCTTCAATATTAAATTCAGGACTATGTATAAAAAGTATGTTTAGAGTGTAGATTCATTTTACAAAATACGTTCAATGTAGAATTGGATTTAGAATAAGACTGAATACTTTCGGTCGTGATCAGCTCGTAGCTTGTTCAGGGATATGGGTTTATTAATGGATGGAGGTGTCATTGGGGTTGCGGAGCTCTGTCCCATCATCAGTCTGGACGTGTGTCTGGCGGTGAGGTGCCGTGTGCAGGGCCGTGGTGGGGACAGCCGGTGTTGGCAGAGCCTGAAAGGAGCCTTTCTCCTGCTGCCTGTGCCAAGTGGTGTCAGTCTGTCGCTAGCTTTCACAGCACGTTTCACACTGGAGGTTGTGGCTAAAGGACCAGGGACAGATTAGGCAAAGCTGTTGAAGCATATGCTGTGTTTTTAGATGCTGCTGATGCTTTCATTGATTTTCTGCAACGCCGTTTGATTTCTAATCTCACTCACAAGATACAAGATTTAGATTCATTTCTCTTGAGAAACTTTTATGTCCTTATTTAACCTTTGAAAGTTAGTTTTTTTTTTCTTATTGACTCAAATTCCCTGCTCAAGGTGACTTAAACAATGTTTGACAGGAAAGTTTCACTCACTTTTCTTACCTCAGCGATGGTGCCAGTGGAGAAACTTGAACCGATGACAACTCTGGTTCTCAGACTTTAAGGCTACTTTGATGATGATGATGATGCATAATAGTATAATGCTCCTTCCCCTCAAACCATCTTCTCCTCTTTCCCACTCACTCATACTCACATTCAGTCAGTAGGTCGTGTGGTTAGAAACCCTCTCTGCGTGAGGCAGACACCCTGGGGTGCACAGCTGTTTCACTGTATTTTATACAATGGAAATCTGGAAATGAAAGCTTGTTATCCATAATGCAATATACAACATGAATAGATGTCTGTAGCCTTTAGTATGTGCTTTATATACAGACAGGGTTACTACATTTTCCAATTAACCGCCACAGATATTTTCATTGTTTCTTATGATTTTTGGATTCAGCAGAAAATCCACTTAGATTCAAGAAATATCTGTAAAAAACGATAAACTCATATTTTATGTCTGTGTTTGGACTTTGAGGAAAAGTAAGTTTTGTTTTTACAAATTAGCTAATTTTTTCTTTCTCGCTAAATGAGAAAATTGATGCCACTCCCATGCCTGTATTAATTAATATGAAGCTACTGCCAGTAAGCACATTGGCATCTTCAAGCCAGTGGAGATAACAAGAAGTTAATGGTCACGACCAAAAATTGTTTTGTATATCATTTCCAGATTAGCCATTTTAAAAGCATCTAAAGAAACAAACTTTGCATAATGTTTTGTATGTTACAATACGTGCACACGTATCTGTCAGTTTTCTCTGCAACCAGTCTTTTCTATTGTTAGCATTAGATGATTATGATATAAAGGTTATAAGTTGTGATGGTTAAGGTTGGGTTAAGGGGAATGCATTATGCCAGTGAGTTTCCTCAGTTTAAAACAAGTACATGTGTGTACATATGAGAAGTGTGTATTTTAAACCGTTGCAGCACCCTATTTGATTTTCCTGCTCTCTTTTCCAGGCCTCAGTCCAGTGACGCTCACCAACCATGAGCGGTGGAGTGAACATCAAAGTCACATCCCAGAGCCAGAGTGACGCAGATGTCAACTCCAGTCTCCATTTACCCGGAAGCATGATACCACTCTCCAAGATGGATCCCAAACAGCACAGCAGCGGCCTCCCCAATCCTACCCTGCACTATCAGCACGCCACCAAGAGACGACCTTCCTATTCATCGTCCTCGGTATCTCCAGGTCCGGCAGAACTGCTGAGAGGTGCAGCTTTAAAGAACCATCTGCTGCAGCAAAAGAGCAGCATGTTTTCTCACAGAAGCCCAGCGTCTACAGAGCGGACTGATGGAACGTGCTCCGCATACAGCAGCCCTCAGATACCGAGGAGGGAGGTCCCACGCTCTAAAGACACACTGGACCTCCGCACTAGCACGCTTACCCAGAAGGCAATGCGGGACCTCCAGTTAAGACGAAATGCCAACAAGAATTGGACATTTGGGAATTATCGTCTAAGGAATGTGGACAACACAGATGTGAGTGATTCCTCCTCGTACCGGCTCTCGGCGAATGTCCAGCAGGGCCAAGGAAGAGGGCGTCAACTTTTCACTAAAGGTGCAAATAGGAATGAGATATCAGGAGTCTCTCCAGGTGGGATGGGATACTGCCAGAAGGACATGAGAAACATTTCCAACCAGGTGGTGGCAGCTTCTGAGGGACACGTGTCAAGTGAGAAATCAAAGTCTTATTATCAGACATGCAACATGCAACGCAGAAGGAGTGAGCCTGGGAAGGTCAACATGGCGGCTGTTGCTCCCTTCAGGTTCAGGTGAGGGCAGTGTTTCGCCTTTTATGACTGGAGGATAAGCTCTGCCGCATAGAGGGCAGTTTTTTTTTTTTAGGACACACTAAATATGATGCAGCCTCGGGTCACCCATGCTTTCTCTTTTATTTCCCCATCTGTTTTATTTTCCACTTTTACTGCCACTTGATCACAACTCAGTCTGTTTTTTGTTCCTCTATACCCATGAAAGGTTTGTGTTTGTCTGTCCCTGTAGGTTTCAGGTCCATGAGGACACAGACGCCTTCCTGGACAACCTGAGTGACTGCTCCTCTGACTCCATGGAGGTCTGCTGCGAAGATCTTGGTAAGTTTGTTTGAATTTGATACTGCTGATCTTTTCATCTTGGGACAACAGACACACATGGTTCTCTTATCCAGTGGTTCCCAACCGGCTCCATAGGTTCACAAGATGTCTGACAACAAAAAAAATAGTTTCTTTGTCGTCTAGAGTCAGGTTATTGTTGTGTAGTCTTGCCCATGTCTTGCAAAATACAGAATGACTGGTCAAGTCACGGAGAGCTGTTTTCAGATATGAAGTACAGAAAAAGTCCAAACAACTGGGTCTGGACATTCTCCAGACCTTCACCTAGGTGCAGCAGGAGTTTGTCTGAGTGGGACACTTTCTCAAAGGAAAATCTCTGGAGCGTTCAGGCGAGAGATGGCGTCTGGGAAGAGCAGCTGGAGCCAGGACATGACGTGTGGATTCCACTGGTGGAATCATATGTTTTTGTTTTCACATCACATCGACACCGGCATCAGCCCTTATTGTAAAAAACTCTCAAATCGCGTTCTATTTCCAAGTTGACATTTACGTTAGCACTTAGGGGTTGTCAGGAAAATGGTGTAACTGACTTGGACATTTACGTTCTCACGTACAGCCCCTCTGGATAATTTCAGAACACTTAGGTCTGAAAGCAGCAGAGGCGTTAAAGGCCCTGAAAACATTTTTTTGTAAACAACCTCTTAGTGATGGGAACACTTTGTGAGAAAGTAAAATTATTCTATCTGATGGAAGTTAGTTCAAGAGAATAATGAATTCTTAAAGTGAAGTTTTCAGACACCAACCATAAACCGCAACGTCCTTGATCCGTGTCCAGTCTGGGATGTTTAATGTATGTCACTCCCGTACTTCCAATCGTTTCTGTCAGATATCCAATAAAGATATAAAAGTCACCCCCCCAAAATAAAGAAAGTGTTCACAGTTCAGACAGAGCAGATGAAAGGTCACTCACATGCATGACTTCATTCTTTCATTAAAGGTTCACAAACCTGACAGGTTGAGAACCACTGCTGTAAACCGAGAAGTGGGCACTAACTCTGGAACAGGGTGAAACGTAGAGGTGATCATCTAGGATCTTAAATTTAAATAGCGAGCAGTTCATAATGTTTAATCCCTCGTCGACTTACAGTTTTATTTTTTTGCTCTTAAGTCCTTTAAAAGTTCTTGTCCTCCTGCAGTGTCTTTATATCAGAACAAACTTTTTCACACAGTTCACAGAGTTCAACCAGTTGTGCAAAACGCGTTTTTTTTCTTCCAACTGTATTAAATTGCATCCTGTAACACCCGAGCTGTGATACGGCTGAATGTTGACACTGGGCTCTGTTCAGCGTGACAGTTGTTCTCACCAGAGTGGCTGCCAGTTCCCAACCAGAGCTGCGTGCTGTACCTACCACCTGTTATGTGCATCAGGATTTCCTGACGTACTTCGCTTCTTTCTTTATGTACATGTGGGAAAACACAAGATTCTTGGCACGGGGCACGTCTCTCAAATCACACATCCGTGCCGTTAACCCTGCGCTGCCTCCTCATTGTTTCTGTGTCTCGGCTGCAGCATCGTCATTGATTGTCTGAGCTTTGTAAAACATTAAAAGTCCAAAGTTTGGTTTATTTAAATGGCTGCAGCAATCCTGTGCTTCATACATCGTGGTTCTTAAAAACTAATACAAACATGAGATGTACAAACCACTGTATATAACAATGGCTATCCAAAGGTGCCTCCATCACCCCCTGGTGGCTGGCTGCTGTAAAAACCTTGCCTTGTCCGTTAGTGGATCAAATTATTAGAGATTTTCTCAAAGATGGTCTAGTTCGCACAGTTCAAGTGTTGACCGTGGGTTTTAATTAGTTGAATCATGTTATAAAAATGGGTTGAAACCTCATGATTGGCAGCTGAGACTGACTCATGATTAGTCGAGCTCAGGTAATAGCGAGATCTTACCACCGTGGCTCCATCTCCTCATCGCTCCTGCACAGACTCTGGCTCAAAATGATGTCATGGCTGCAAGATGGCAGTGTTCCTATCGAGGATATTTCAGCTCCATATCATGGGAAGAAGTGGAGACGTGGCGTCCATTTTTATACGCAGTCTCGTCAGTATGTCATTATTTAAACTCTGAATATGTTATCCAGTAATGCTACTTCTCCATCAGCAGAAGATACAACCACAGCGTCCCAATCACTTAAGTCCAATTAGGGGGCAATTACATAATTAAAGATCTATTGTAAATAAGCAGTATTGATTTAGGTAAGTAAGCACACACTGTTGTCTCAGGGGTAAAAGCTGTGACCACGAAACCAAATTAATACTTAAACATGTAAGTTCACTTCAAGAGATAAGTAGAAATTCATCCAGAGGCTTTAGCTTGATTTGATGTTTAAACTTGCTGTTGGAGGAAGAACAACTTTATTTCAGACGTCACTGGATTTGATGTGTTTGACATAAGTTCAGCAGCATTAAAACACTACATCTCAGAAATTAGGGCGTATTTATTATCCCTAATTTAAAAAATTTTGCTCATATAAATGCACCAGGCGGTTATAAAACCCTCTAACTGGCTTCTTAATAATCTTAATGACTGTGAGGGGCGAGCGCCTCCAGCCAGCCTCCTCAGGGAGAGAAGGAGACCAGAGACTGAGTGGTCCTTGGCGGAGGGATGACAGACGCAGGGGCTGAGAGACTGAGTGGTTTGATGGGAGGATCGGCTTTCACCTCCTGTCTGGGAGTTCCCCTCGTTCCTGCCGGACGGACCTCAGGGGCGCTTAAATTCAGGTTTTGACAACAGGGTGGGGAGATGTGTCTTGGTAAGCTGTCATCCTGCTTCAACAACAAGTTAGCTGGAAAATTATAGGTTGTTCAAATGACAGTTCCACTTAGTGGAAACATCTGCACAAACAGCGGTTCAGAGAAACCCTGCTTTAAAAAAGTTGTTTTTCGGAAATAAGGGAATTATTTGCCAGGATTAATGCAAGAGAGCAAATCAATCATTGAAGCAGTTATAGTCAGAGACTCAGAGAAGATGGGTTTACCTTGTGGTTTTGTGCAGCTTGATTTAAAAAAATTAATAAATCAAAAACCGACTATTGCTTTGTACATCAGAGGGATTTGAATGAAATAAAAACTCTGTCTTCATCCCTCGAGCTGCTCACATTCCAGGCAGCACATTGATCCGATTAGATCTTGATTCAGAGGCTTTTGATTACCACATGAATTGAACAGCATGCAAAAACTTTAAATGTGCTTTTAATACTTTGCTCGACTCTCAGTACATGTGTTGGTTTACAGTGTTGTTCTCCCTGTGTTTCTGCTCTGAGCACACGTGGAGGTCGTTGTGATGTTTTCAAAACGATTGCATCATTTGCAGCTGAGCAGCTCCAAAATGATTACATGTGCTGTCCAGGGAAAATTCATAACACACAGCTGTGCAACACCCACAAACACACAGTCAGGTCTCCATGACTTCAGAGGACATTACATTGACTTGCTTTGATTTCCTGGAGACTTACTCTAACCTGAACATAGATACGACTTACCTAACTCTAACCTTTACCCTAACCTAAACCTTGACCTAACCTGAACCTAATCTCAATCTCACATGGCATCATTTTAAAATGGACTAATGTTACAAAAGAAAAAGCAGACCCGAAACACACACACACACTCCAAAACCTAAGTCTTGATCCTCATGCCTCTGAGGTTTTGAGATCCGTCTAAAATCTCTTCACAACAAAGGTTTTCAATTAAACATAGGAAGACATGTCACACATGCATACACACAAAAATATATGATTACTCAGATGACCGGTTGGAGTGTGGATCAGCCCCAGATGTGAAAGTAACCAAATGAAAGATGCAGCTCCACCCTCGTCTCTCCTGAGAACTGAAAACAGTCGATTTAGATAAAACTCATTCTTTGGATTAAAATATGGAAAAATACTGAGGAGCAGATCTTTAGGTTTGTTTAGCACGTTCACTATCTTAGTTTGAGGTGTTGTCCCGCTAACATTAAATTACCAGATGAATGTGCTTGTTGAAGTCATGTCACAGAGGTTATTACATTTCATCTGGCATGAATGTCTGGAGCAAAATGAGTCGTGATTCATCCAATAGTTTGTCAACTCTTTTTACAAAAAAACAAGAAAAAAAGAAAAACCCCCCACTTCATCCTGTTGTCAATGCCTGAACAAATGTTTCCTCTGTTCAGTCAAGTTTGAGGTGTTAGCATGCTAACACTTATTTCCATACTTGGAATTAATTTGGCAGGTATTTGTATTTTTAAAAAATAACTTCTATATAGAAGTGAATGGCAACCCATCTAATAGTAGTTGAGAACTTTAACAAAAAAATCAGATTATAGAGCCCCCAAAATGTCAATGCTGTAATATCAACCTAACTAAAGAAGAGATGCTTGTTTCATTTATTTATGATCTTAACTTTATGTATAGATGTAATTATAAAAGTATTTAAAGCATGCAGGAAATTTGGCATGTCTGGATTTGTTACCATGTGACTCTTTAAGAAATTCTTACTTCCCAAAACAAGTGAGCTATTCAGTGCCTCATAGGGGTAAGGTCAGCGATCTGGAGTCAGCAGGGGAGCCTTGGACCTCGTGATGAGGAGAAACAAGACATGACATTGTTACTAGAAAACAAATTGCCATATCAAACAACTCACTGGTCCATGAGCCACCCCAGGTGCCTTTAAACCCAAATAAAAAAGGCAGCGGAGTGTGATGCACAACCCATCAGGGGAGTGTGGGAATGCTACCCTGCCGGCTTTGTTGCCAACAGGTCAATCCTATCCAGTGGATTTGAACCATCCACCGTGCCTCTATTTAATCAGGCAACTTTAGCTTCATAAAGATAATAGAGAAACATACTCAGACATTTGCGTTGGCATATTTAACAAAAGACATTCTTTTTGATGCATACATGATAACATGTGGGCTTTATCTCAATAGTTTATGGAAAAGGTTCAATGATCTGTGGCAGCTGTGTTTTTGCAGAGCAGTGAGCTCTGCTGCAGAAGATATGCAGCCGATGAGAGAGGGTGGTTTCCATGGAGCGCCGCTGCATGCGAGCGCTGCAGAGCCTCTTCGATCGTCCTGAGAGACGGCTGCATGGAACAGCTTAAAAAGATGATTACACTCATATGTCTGCAAAAGACCCTGAACAAAACAATCTGACCGGATTCTTAATTTAACACAGTCACATGTGCGTCTCTCTCTGTCTGTGTCTGTGTATGTGTCTCTCTCTGACTTGAAGATATTTCCAACGTGTGGTTTTGGGCGTGTTACACTGGCACATCTTGTCGCTCGCTCAGTCTGCTGGAGTGAAGTCACCCACTTGGCCACTACTCTTGCCAAGTTTTCTCTCTTTCCTTTTTCATGCTACAGACAAAAGTCCTCAATTGTGTTCATTATGCATTAGTTTTCATTAATGTCACATTATACACATGAATATTTATGTCATCATTGCTGGTATTATACAAGGAGAATATGGTTATTTGTTCATAGCAGGGCAGCACACTGGCAATGTTTTAGTGTATGATTTATCCAGCTGTAAATCTGGAATTGATATGGTAAGAAAGCTCAGACAGGATCAAGAGATAATCTGGATGCTCTAGTGGCTGCAGTGACACTAACAATAGTACATGCTATGGTCTGTCATTACATGTCTGAATGTCTATCCATTCGCACATTAATAACTCCTCCACATCACAAATCATGCATCATGTTGAGCATATTGAACGGGGAGGACTGGAGGTGAGGGAGGGGGAGGGGAAGAACAAAGGAATCGGAGATGGTGGGAAAACATGGTGTGTTAGAGGAGGAATGGTGGCTGGTTTTAAAAGCCACAGATTGATCCATTTTCTGATCGCCCTAGTGCACTTCATATATTCAGCTGAGATGCAGCAAAGCATCTCTAAGAGAAGGAGGAACAAAATGAGGGAAGGAGGAGGGAGGATGGGAGGGGAAGTCAGAGGCGAGGGAGAGGCAGCAGAGAGCACAGGGAGGAGGGAGCGTTGTCGCGTCTGCCGCTGCTGTCATTCTGCTGCTGCGCGGTTCAACGGCAGGAGGGTGTGCTGAAGGGAGGAGTGTGGAAAAAACTGAGGAAAGGAGGACAGGAGAGAAGGAGAGAAAGGGAGCGCCTGGGCAGCACTGCAACAGCTGCAGCAGCAGCAGCCTGTCAGAAGGACGGAGGGAAAGGAGACAGAGGGAAGAAAGAGAAGGCTGCAGGATTGCCTTAAAGGAAACATATTGTGTGGGTTTTTTCTTTTTTGCATAGGAAGAAGGGTTTGGGTAAGGAAGCCTTATTTCTCCCCACTCATGCTTTTCTATATGGTCTCATGCAGGGGGCATGCTTGGAAATAGTGTGAAAGGCAGAGAAGGAGATTTGAAAATGGAAAGGACGGATAGCACAAAGGCATACGGCCAAGCAGATGGCAAAGGAGTTGGTATGGCAGCGAAGAGGGCAAAGTCTGGAGTGCCCCAGAGCACACAGCGGGGTGAACTGAAGGTTTACCGGGTGGGTAGCTCTGAGGGCAGGATACCGGTGCCATCCAACCTCCGCAAACAGAGGTCTATGACAAACCTGGCTGTGCTGACCGATGCTGAGAAGAAGTTGCATCTCTATGAGCCAAAGTGGTGCGATGACATGGCCAAACCTGGAGCAGGGCAGACGAAGATGGGCAAGCCAAAGACAGCAGGAGGTGGCCCTGGTGTTGGAGGGGGTTCCCCTCTCTCTCGAAACCTATCCAAGTCGGAACATTCACTGTTCCAGGGCAAACCCAAGCCCTTCAGCCCACTGGCTGCTCCCACTGCCCTGAGCAAGCAGAGCCGCATACCTCGTGGTCCTTATGCCGAGGTGAAGCCCCTGAGCAAAGCACCTGAGGATGGAAAGTCAGATGATGAGATCCTCTCCAGCAAAGCAAAGGCCAACGCCAAGAAACAGGGAGCTGTTGCTGGAGGGGAGTCTGGTTCCAAAGGCCAGGGGGAGGAAGGGGGAGACAAACCCTTCCTAAAGGTGGACCCAGAGCTGGTGGTGACAGTGCTGGGCGACCTGGAACAGCTGCTCTTCAGTCAAATGTTAGGTGAGTACAGCACAGCAGTCTTGATACTACCACCGTTATAGGATGTATGGCCGCCATGTGCTACAAAGCAAATGCCCTGCTTGCACAATTTTCTAGTGCTTCTCAAAGTCGGCATCACGCCCCCTTTAATACAACCATCACGGCACCTGCTTGCTGCTGCAGACCCACGTTTCCCAAGGAGTGGATTTTATGCAGCTGAACGACCGTGGGGGGAAAAAAACAGGAAGACGTCCTCATTGTGCTTGCAAAGCATGCTTTTCCTCTTATTATTTGATCGAATGCTGCCTCAGCTTGGCCTTTTCTATGAATGCTGAATGGTTAGCTGAATACCAAAGCTACAATAATGCTCCATTGTTCTTATTCCTGCAGGATGTCACTCAGGTGTGGTGGAATGGAATAGGTTAAATGTGCTTCCTGTCATAACTGATGTCTGATTGCATGAAAGAAATCCTGAAGGGTAGTGAATAATCACCAGCGACTGATCTTTTCAAAGCACTCGTTTGTTGCAACATGTGCCGATGCACTCAAGGGTCCATCCGCTCCTCCACGCACGCTTCTAAAAAACCAGAGATGAGGAAACACAGCATGCCATATTGAATTCATTTCTGGCACACATACACATATTTAGCCGCCTCCCAGCTCCATTCATCTGTAGAGCTTGGTCATATGGTTTACACCCTATGTACTACAATGGTGCAAATGGCGGAGAAAATGGTTTTCTCTGTGATAAACCTGAACTAGAACCCCAATAATTCGTAATGAGTATGACATTATTTTTATCAGTTTTTTGTTTTATTATTTTTTTTGCATATCAAAGCATTTTATGTGCACTATAGGATCTCTACTTTGTCTTGGAAACTTTTAAATTCAGTATTACCACAATGACAATAAACGGCCAATATTTTGATATCGCCAGTCCAATAGTCCACCTGTTCACCATACACTGTTTACAGACGTAAACACAGACACCGTTTATTTTCTTTCATCATATGAGTCGAATGTTCCTCCACACAAAACACAAACAGTGTTTTAGGTTCAGACAACATTTTGTATTTTGATGATGTATATCAACAGCTGTCATTATGAATGAAGATAAGCTGATAGCAGACGCATTTACATAACCAAAGTCTGCTCAGGCTATTTAAATAGGAGGGCTGAAATATATAAACTTCATGCTCTGGTTTCTAAATACACTTTTGACGGGCACTTTTCAAACATAAAGAACTGGAATGTTAGAGTGCAATATAAAATCACTTTGCATTAATTCATGTTCCTAACTCTATTCACAATTATGCTTCAAACATGTCATATAACAACAAGAAGCATTTCATGAAATATTAAAAAATGTGTCATTCCATTGCTTCAGTATCATCAGGAGTGCATGTTCCCTGTTGCATTATAATGAACACATCTGTGATCTAATCTGTTATCCATGCTTCATTAGCCTATATGGATGTCTGTCACTCATTTTAGTCACAGTCCAAGCTGAACGAGCTGTTTAACCGATACAGGACACCATGGGTAGCAGCATGGAATCATTGGTCATGTTTGTGTGATTGAGTTTAGAACCACAAACCAAAATTTCCAGGAGCCCTGCAGATTTCTGTGCCACACCCACGTCTGCTTTATTCACCTATAATTGCATAAAATTTGCAGCAGATGCCTCGGGCCGTTACATCTATTCTGCTCAATGTATTGCACTGAGCTCCATGATGTTTCCCAAATCAATTGAAAGCCATTATTTCTCGAAATGCAAGTTCATCATCCTACTGAATAATTTATCATCATTTACGATGATAATCCCACGTGGGCCTTTGAAACAAGTCAAGTGCTTTGTGCCCATGAAAGGAAAAAGACTATGGAAAGAGACCATTTTTAGGGAAAGGGAATGGCAGCACTGATATTGACAGTTAATTAGCAAGGGATGGAGACCAGTTTATTTATTTTAATAATAGCTATGTTATGTATTCAGTGAAGCCTGTAGTACAGGGATGAAAGCTGTTATTATATTAGAGCAGACTTCTCAATGCATGTCCTGACTGTACTCGTACAGTGGGCATGCTTGTCACTGTAAATAGATCTTTTTATTCATGCTCTGCTGTATATTTAAGGCCAAGTTAAAGCTGAATGTCGACCTCTGCTCCTTCAGTACATCTCATTATGAGCTTACTGAAAGGATCCCTTTATATCTATAAATAGAGGCTATGTTGGTTTACCGATATGACATCAAGAATGGTCAATGTTCTTAACAGGCTCATTTATTAAACTTTGTCATTGTTTGTGCACCATGGCCGTCATACAACACCGGAACTCTGCATACCTCTTCCTCATCACAAGACTCGCCTGCAGATCCACAACAGAATGCAAAACCACTACCAATACAAAGTTGTCATGCTTTATTATGCAGCAACTTCTGTTTAACTCTTCCCCTTCAAGTGGAGCAGTTGAGTTTTCATTGGGAATAAATTAAATACATTTCCATATTTTTTGAATGTAGATGAATGTACTATAACAAAGATACTTCAGGTTATTAGGACGGCAGATTCATGTCCACTGAGACAGCAGAGGATGAAAGTAGTGCAGGCAGCCCTACTTGAGCTTTTTTTTCTAGACAATGAGGAAATGAGCAAACCTCATTTCACTGTAATTGTATGTGATCTGTCATGCAAGATGTCTACAAGCAAAGAACTGGCCCTCAGCGACTGTATATAGACTCACAGTGGAAAAACATTTTGTCACAGAGCTCTGCAGGCATGCAAGGTCACAATGTTGACTCTCAAAAGTCAGGGCGAAATGTCATTGTTAAGCATTTTGCGTTATGTATTAATTGGATAAGATGGAGAAAATGTCGTGCAGCCTCAGTTCTGAATTGTTAACTCCGCTCTCTCTCTCTGCTTCTTATTGCTTAGAACACTTTTTATGCAAGAAAGAGAAGTTGAGGTTAGATTGAACAGGAGCATGCAGATTATAGTTTTTTTTAGGATCAACTCCAGGAATAGAAACACAAACTGATCCGAAAACATTTAGATAAAGAGGTTAGATGCTGGCTGAAACCAAACCAAACCTGTAGTCACTGATCATGCAGCAGTACTCTGTTTTATAATTTTATGTGATTACTATGCTCGTTTGGTAACGTCTGTGTGTGTGTGTGTGTGTGTGTGTGTGTGTGTGTGTGTGTGTGTGTGTGTCTGTGTCTGTGTTGGGTTAAGTTATATTTTAATTGTAACAAAGTATTGTGACCATTTTTAGATTAGAAAAGCCTAACTAGGGACAGGGATTGCAAATTAGCCTGGGCTAGATACCCTACATTCAGCACGTGTAATATGTCTCTCAACCTCTTTCTACCAAAATAAAAACAGATAAGTACAAAATATGAAACTATTAGATGCTATTAAGAAAACTATAACACGTCATTAAGAGCTGAAACATTCAAATTTATTATAAATACTTTCTGGAATATGGACTGTATGAGAGGTGAATTTAAAAAAGTAACCGCCCACCTTTTGCTCCTCTTTAAACCTCTGAATGCTTCTTCTCATCGCAGCCTACACACTACTTTTCACTGTCACCTGCTATTGTGAAGAACTCTTGGTACACTTTAGCTACAAACACTTCATCCTCCTGTTTCAGTTCTTCGGTGAAACAAGCTTTACAACAAACTATTGATAAAGTCTTTCGGTCTTTCCCCCGATCATCTTGTTTATTCATGTAAAATTATGCTAATGTATAGATTTAATTGGCCCAAGAACATTTAATGTGTTTTTAAGGTTAATTACTGACGACTTCTGAAAATATTCTAGAATTAATGTTGCTCGACTTTCTTCTGCCTCTGCACTGTGTTAATATGGAGCACTTCCTGTTGTGTTGCATCATTCATGGGTCTTTCCAGCTTTAGATCTGCTTCAGTATTCTCTCCAGGTTTTTTCTGTCTCTGTATTTGAAGCATCACTGCAATGCAGGGTGCCAGAGGACTGTCATTCACTGCACAGGAAGAATAGTGTATAAAGGATATATATAACTAAATATAGTCAATACAGATGTAGCTATTCTACCCTGAATGAATAAGCAGTATTACAGAATAAGAATGTTTTCTCCCAATACCTATAAACACCATAAACTAATGTCTCTGTTGTGAGGAGTAGTGAACGAGGAGAGTGAGGGATTTTGGACACAGCCACTGATAATTCGATTGTTGGATCTCTTTCATGATAATATCCAGATTTTTGAACCTGACCTGTTCTTGTTCACTTGTGAACCAATTTGCGAAGATTTCTGTCTCATAAAACAATGAAAACATGGGGAGAGAGCACAGGTTCAATAATCCCAGACTCATAGTTTAGTGTTTACTTTGCTCCAGTTTTCAATAAAAAATCTTACTCTGTCCAGCTCAGACTCATAAATCATAAATGACTGTGCTTGTCAATATTGTACATGTACAATACACACATATATATTGTTTTATACTAAGCTGCACTTGCTTCCAGAAGATTTTGTTGATAGTTTCTTCTCTATCTGACACCGTAAATTTAAAGTCTTTGGACTTTATACTATTAAAATCAATTTATATAAAGTTCTGCGATGAGAAGCTCCAGTTTCTTTGCACCCTTTGGCTGTAAATGTCTACTTCTAGTTTGCATAAGGGGCTCAGGCATGTGGTTTGAATCTGTTTATTGTGTGTGTGGCACTTACAGTTCACACCCTCTAATTATTCCAGCGGCCTCTTATGATAACAGAACATTATTTGAAATACACTCCCCTGACATCCTTGCCTCTTCTGCAGCCTTTTCAGTTTAATGCACCAAATTTAATTTCTCTGCCTAAAGGGATTTTGTCTCCACACAAAAAAAGGCTCCTCCTCTCTGATTCTCTCACTATCTGCAGCGAACGCAACAACACTAATTGTTCTGTGGTATTGAGGTGATATGGTCACGACCCACTGACTGGACACTTTACATTGCACACAACTGAGATGTTGTGAAATGGCTCTTTGCTCTGAGATCATACTCTACACATCAGAAAAACAAAGCACCTTATGGGAAATAAAAATACCTCAAAAGAAATCCTGGTGTGGCATGAATACATCCCCCTGGTGGTCGAGTAGGTCACAGTCCACCTTTCAATATTTCATTTTCAGGATGTACCATGTCAGTGCCGAGGGGGTACAGCTGGAATGAATCGGCCCATGGAGTGGGATTTGTCTGCCTAATGATGTGAATGTACTTTGGCTGCGTGTTTACAAGGAAGACACTTGTCACATTAGTCCAGACACAAATAATACGAGCATGTGCAGCCAATAAACCTGTGTTTCCGCATGACCTCTTTCAAACCAGACACACACAACCATAAAACTAAGCAACGCTGAATCTTTTATAAACGTTTTCTCTGCATGACTAACCCACAGACCCCGAGTCTCAGAGGAAACGGACGGTGCAGAATGTCCTTGACCTCCGCCAGAATTTGGAGGACACCATGTCGAGTCTGCGGGGGTCCCAGCTCAGCCACAGGTAACTGCGCTTGTATTGTTCATGTTCTGCTGATGAGATCTTAGGTTAAAACAATAAACCAAATGCTGTGTGTGACTCAACCTGAGAGGAAACAAACTCAAACGTGAGCTGGACCGTTGGATTGATACACATATCACAGTCGTGTGTAAACAGACGCTTGGAGAGAAGCCACCTGTTGCCATCTGGCTTCCATCCTTCTCAAACAGCCTCTTTTTCTTGGTCATGACCTCATTCCAAAGCATTTATCTGTTTGGCTCTCACAGGCAAAAAAGGCCCCATGTGTTGCAATGACCACAACGTAATAAGACCCTGGCAGAGAACACGTCTTTATTTCATTTGGACATTAACCTTGGAATGAAACATCCTGTGTTTAAACAAAATAAAAATAAAATAAATATTCCGTAATGTTAGATCAAATCAATATATGATATTAACACCAAATCAGTTATATCTTTAATTTGAATCAGACTATGTTCATGGTCCAAATCAGATATTCTGGTATTAGCAAATTAGCTGATCAAAAAACAAAGATTTGACTGTCACCGTTATATATCTTTCCCTTAGAGAGCACAGACTTTATCCTGCTAAATCAAATATAAGAGATTCTTAGAAATATTTTTGGATTATTGATTCAATTTATACCTTTTTTTTTAAATATTGGTAAAATCTAGCTTTAATGCATCGTAACTTCTACAATGAATAAATTGTAACAATAAATGACCAACTAGAACTTTTTATATGTATAATATCTGTAACCATAGGATTGTCTCTTGGCTGGGCAATGTTAATAAATGCTTGAGAAGACTTCTTGTCATTCTCAGAAGCACAGCGGTCTTCTAATCATTTTAGTCAACGACTCATCGACAAAAGTAAAATTCTCACCCTGTCACTTTCAGTACTGGCACCACTTTGCCTCCATATGGATGAATTATCCATCAACAATGGATAAAAATACCCACATGGTCGTAGCTCTTGCAATATTTATTTGGGTGAGTTGGTACATTATGCAATCAGCCGACACAGAAGACGCTTCCAGCCATTTGGAGGACGTTTCTAACCCTGACCCACTTAGTGGAGAGAATTGGAAAACTGTGATGCACCTTAATGACTGATAGTAATAATGATAATAGTGGTATTGGTATTGGCAGCATCTATAAGTACTGCGGACACGTAAAGTAAAGGTCCCTGGTGGGAGAAAGATGTCTGCTGTTGAGTGTGAACACATCGCTGGGAGACAAAGATGCCACGTGAAGACAGATATCAGGTCATTCTTGTCTTTGGGTTCTGAGATGCCACATTTCAGGCTTCAGGCCCTGAAGACAATATGGCAACTGCTGTGACTGACTCTGAAGAAACTCAATGCCACCAAAGGTTTCTGACAAAGAAAGAGAAATGTTTTTTCTCTGGTCTCATCCTGTTACAGTATTAATTCTGCCAAGAAGTTTTCCTCTGTGGTTTTTTGTTTGTCTGCTAGTCTGCAGAATTTACACAAAATCCACTGGGTGGATGAAACATGGTGGAAGGATGTGATGTAAGAACCCAGAAATGTTGGTGCAGACCCAGATCAGGGGGCGGATTGTGAGATGGATGATTTAGTGACATTTTCTTTAATTTCTTAGAAAATAATTCATGGACATTCATGATAGAATCAGACATGTTGTCTTAATGCCTCAAACATGCAAAGGTAACATTGATCCTCCCTCCGTGTCTCTCTCCAGCTGCCTGGAAAGCAGTAATGTGGGATATGACAGTGACGAGACCAACGCCCGCAGCATATCCAGCATGTCCAACCGCTCCTCACCTCTCTCCTGGCGCCACGGCCAGTCCAGCCCCCGTCTCCAGGCGGGTGACGCCCCGTCTGCCACAGGTGGAGGGTACCAGGGGAGTAAAGCTGCCTCCCAGTACACAGCCCACACGATGCCAGCTCGCACCTCGGGCCGCCTCAGCAGCGCGTCTCGCATCGAGCTCATCGAAGGCCTGAGTGACGCCGACCTCAAGTCCGGTTATCTGAGCGACAGTGACCTTCTGGGAAAGAGCCTGCCGGATGACGATGATGACAACCTGGCTAACGGGTAAGACTGCGTGGGGATAAGCATGGGTTTGAGCCTTTTGTTACCATGACAACACGAACCAAGCAGGGACTGCAGGGCGGCTGGATGCTGGTTGGTCCCCTCAGCCTCTACCTCAGCCTCTACTTTGAAAAGGTCAGCGGGCAGTTTCTGTCGAATTGCATTTCGCTCTCGGGAGTCGGGCTGATTGACCTCCTGCTGTTATTGCTGGATATTGTTTCATGCCACATTTCTCATTCTCATTTTCTCATTCAACTGTTGCCAAAAACTTTTGTGAAGGAATTATATTATTCTATCATGGTGGATTTGTGCTCTGTCTTTGACATCTGACTTGTTGCACTTGGCAAACTCATCAAAGAGCTTTCATCTACAGTCTGGCTCTTTAAGGATTTTCAAAGTGCTCATGACAGGGGCTGTTTTTCTCTTTCTGCTGACTCTGACTTAAGTTTTTTACTGGGAAGAAGTATTCGGACCATATGTAGAAAAAGAAAGTCTTAGATTTCAATATTGTCTTACCATTGCGACAAGAAAGTTACAAAAATTACAAAGTCATAATTGATGAGAAAGTCAAAATATCATGTGAATAAAGTCATACTATTACGTGAATAAAGTTGTAATATGGAGTTTTGCTCCTTCTTACTGCTGGATCCATAATCAAAGCTTATCAATTTCACTGATTGATTAATTTGAGAGAGAAACTACAAATCTCCTTTGAATAACCTCACAGTCGAACACTACCAAACATTTCTCAGACACGAAAGAGATAAATTCCTGTGTCTGTGCGTGTGGTTTTTTCTTCAGAATCAAACTTCTTGCACAATCTATTCAAACTTCTGGTTAGAGGATGACCTGCTCTATCGCATGAGCCACGGCTACTTCCAGTTATATAGAGAAGAATGACTTCATACAGGCTGATCCTCTGATACTCCTCCTCTAACATGACATGACTTTGTTCTAACTTTTTCTTGTAATGATACGACTTCATGCTTTTTCCTTGAAGTGGCCATAATACTCTTGGTGGCACAAAAACCGCCCTCTTGCCTCTTGACTGTGTCTGAATCTTGATAAGAATTTGTCAACAGGTACGGCAGCAACAAATAGTTTAGATCAGACGTTTGACATTATTTTTCATTTTCACTGGAGTGCCACATCGTACAGCTGCTCTCTGTTGCACCTCTCCTTCCCTGCTCTTTGACTTCACTCTTTCTACCCTCCTCTTACAATCTTTTGTGCGTCTTTATCTCATTCCCTCTCTGAAGTTGGCAACTGACAGCGAACGCCAGAGAGAGAGAGAGAAAGAATCCAGGACAGTTCTCTGGTGTGGTTTAGCAGCTTTATCGCTGTTGCACATGCAGTGGGATTTAGGCTCAGCCTCTGGAGCGCTCGCTGTGCCCTGCAAGCCAGGTCACGTTCTTACTACAGAGTGAAGTAATTAGAAAAAAAAAAAGATGACACATTTCACATGAGAGGAATTTAGAGCAAAGAAGAAAAAGTGTTGAAATTAGGTTTCAGTGAAGGGCTGTGAAAACTGGGAGGTGAAGATAAATGAAACATCTACATATCTAATGATTTTCAGAAATCTCTGTATGTGTCTCACAGATCTGCATCATACTTGGTATGTGTTTTGTCAAAGACCCAAGGAAGAGCTGAATTTGGCGCAGTTTGGAAATGCAATATGTTCTATATTGATTAGCTTTGGATAAGAAGGTGAGCAGCGCTCTGCAGCAGGGGCGGCTTGGACTCATCAACACATTGACATTGTTCATGACGGGTTCTGTGTGCCGAGTCAAGCTTCACTGAACTTTGAATAAACAGGCAAACAGCTCTTTGTTCAGCAGCCGTGGCTTCAGGGTTCTGTGAACTGAGTCCTGCAGCAGGTCTTTTCTTGCCACAGCTCAGATGCTGCAGGTCACCTTCAAAGTTTCAGAAAGAAAGCTGCAACAGACATTTCCACAGGTCAAACATAAACAGGCTTTACAATGGACACTGCACTGGTTTGGAAGAATAGAGAGAGGTATCAAATAAAATTGGACGATTACCTCCATGTGTACAGGTTTAGCTTTTTGGGAGGAGAGAAGTGAAAAGGATCAACCCTGGTGAGGTCGGGATTAAACAGGGATTTTGTCATTTTGGGTTCATTCCTGCACAGTAACATCCACGCACCCGAAATCCACTTAGATCTGACCTGTATTTTGTCCTGTCCCTCGCCGCTCTGCTCTGATTCAAATTCATGTGAGAGGGGAACTTTGACTCACCCCCCTGCTTTACAACACCACGGGCACCAGAGATGCTAATGATTTTTACGTAACCATTTTGACTATTTATTTATATAAATGCCTTGTCATGCTCAGAGCTTGCCGCCAATGTCAGCAGTCCCCAGTCTTCCCGATTGTTACAGCTGATCCCTACATTAGATTACCACCATTTGCAACAAGAGGATTGGTGTCTGAATGCATGTGCCATAGAAATATCTAGGCTTAAGTGAAGGCCAGCGACAGAGATATAGAAATCCAGCTATTTTCTCTTTGACCTTGTGCAGGCTGCTTGCTTTTTCTTCAAAGATAAAACAGATTTTTTGCTTTACTATTCCCTATATGAATGAGTTATAGTGGAAGGTATTCCTCATCATCTTGCAAGAATGCTGGAATCCTCTATATCAGGAGTTAATCCCACCTCATAAATCCTTTTGGTGTTGATGATGAGCTAATCTATTTTCTTTTTTCAAGCTGAACCAACATCACATGCTCCTGCAAAGTCTGGGATACATTTGCATTCCTACTGTACATCCCCTGTCACACACTCACAGTTCAGCTCATTGAGAACCATTAGTTACGAGCTCTTGAAAATAGATCAGGCTCCTCCTGCGTAACCATGGAAACTAGCCGGAAATAGGCTGTTAGGGAGAGGTGCGATATCGGGTCCTTTTTACTACAGCCCCACTTTTACATTCTCATACATTTCATTGGATTTAATTATCTCTAATTAGCCCCTAATATAATGAATATCTGTAAAGTAGAGAGGGATTGTTTTCAGTCTATTACGCTTGGATAGTGTACAACCACTGTACTGTGTGATGCCTCAAACCGTCTGGAAAGGGACTTTGAAATAATAACATGTTGTTGATTGTCTCTTTTTATATGAGACAGTCTAATGGATATTGATTAACCCACAGCAGACGGCGCTGGCTATAGCTAAGGATAAATGTACGCTCGCTGACAGTAATCACTGCTGCTGTGTGTCTGCCTCATCAATAACCTGAGGCCACATACATCCCATCTTTCCATCGGAGAACAATCGTCACATCTCCACAGCAACACAGTTTATTGATGATCTGGTTTGTCCCAGTTAAAGAAGAAATTATTTACGAGGCTGTATATACATATAGCCATGCTACAATTTATCTGTTGCAATTGTAAATATGTTGTAACATAATAAACCATATATAGCTGAGATAAATAAACCTTATTTAAGCATTTTCAGTATTCAATAATCAGATAATATGACACATGGTTGTTAGCATAGGAAACATTTTCTCCTTTACGGATATTGAACTTGAACACTATTACTGGATTTTTCACCAATAGGGGCCTGATACTCTTAGTGGCCACCATATCAGATACAACTGTAAAATCTAATGTAATCCAAAATGTTAAGTAGCCTCAAATTACTGCCTCTGTAGAGATTTCTTTTGATAAGTGCAGCTTATTCTGGTTCTTCAGTGACTCCTGGGTCTGTATTGTCTTCATTTTGAGCATTATAGTGCAAGAAAAGTTTTTTTTAAAATAATATTTTGTCCACCTCACTGATGCATCCTCCAATGTAATAAAATCCATTATATTAATCTGGAGTCCTCTCTAACTCTTTTAAATTTTTAAAAGTATTTATCGTTACAGGGCGGTCGGTTGCTATTTTTATGTCAATTAGCAGTTTATGACGTGGAGACCTCTTTACTGTCTGTAACAATTGACATTTACAGTATTTTATTACAATTATTCATTATTCTGCATTTCCCTCATTAGACTGTCTGTTTGAATTATTGACTGACATTTAATGAACTAGAGATTTTTTTTTAATGTAACTCATTTTTATGTGACCACCACCTTTCAGCGAGTGAGTTCCACGTGTCAGGAATGTCGAGATTGGCTTCTCATTTAGCCTCGAACACGTCTGACCACGCCAAGAACCATAACCGTTTCCTCTGGCTACATTCATCATACCGTACTGGCAAAGGTCAACCATCAGTCTATGATATCATCTGACTGCGAGCCATCCTTAAAGTACTAGTTTATGAGTGGAGCAGTCATCGCATTTCATTATTGGTGTATGGTTGGCTTTTTCCATCTCTGGCGTACAAATTATGACTCCTATTCAGCATTCAGTGTCATTTCTGCGGTGCTCAGTCAATCATGGTTGATGTTTTACAGGCACTCTGCTGTAGTATAAGTAAGAAATTTGGTTCCGGCTGATTTTCTATGTCTAATACAGATGTTCCCTGGCAACATTACTTGTTTTTTTCCATAGAGTCATGTAGTTGGTGGGATGAATGCAAGCCTAATGTTTGTAACAGAACACAATAATTTCACAGGAGGACCATACAACACAATATGATTACTGCATCTGACAGATTTATGTTTTATTTTGGCAAGTGAGAAAGTGTGAAAATCTGATATGAATGAAAACAGGCAGATACCTGTTAGTGTTTGGTTGAGCTCCCAACTCCTGACTGAGGATGGAAGCAGCTAAAGGGGTTTTCCTGCACCAGAGAGCTATTGATGAGTGCAGCGCCTCTTAAAAAGCTCAAGAGCTGCTTAACTTTCCCAAAATGTTTGTATTTCATCAATCACTCTCAGTACCTGAAACACTAGAATACTAACACTCAGTATCCTTACAGCAGAATAATCCATAAAGGGTCAGTGCTGTTAAATCAAAACAATTCACGAAAAGGAGCTGAAACGGGGGGGGGGGGGTGTAACTTCAGCTGATTATCACTGTAGATAATATTC